TCTCTTTATTCTCTTCTCCATACATGAACTTCTCTCTTCTTGGCATAAAATGCATGTTTATTATTATTGGAGTGAATTGGGTTCTCTTCAATCTTATTCTGACTTTTCATTAAATCTGCATTGGAAGAGTGCCTTAGGGTTTCTATTGTGATAAATAGACACCATGACCATGGGAACTCCTATAAAGAAAACATTTAATTGGGATATCTCACTTATAGTTTCAGAGGTTTGTCCATGATTGGGACCATGGCAGCAGGTGGACTTTATATTACACATCTACCCTGTAGATGTGATCCTAGAGAGATAGTTGAGAGTGTTACGTATTTTAGGCAACAAAAAGTCAACTGAAACACTTCGTGGTATCCTGAGCAAAGAAAATCTCAATTCATTGCCACAGTGGAACACTTTCTCTAACAAGGTCAAATCAACTCCAACAAAATCATACCTCCTAATAGTGTCTTTCCCTATGAAATTATAGAGGCCATTTGCATTCTAACTACCACAAATAATATTTCTTTTGATGCCTACACCTCATGTGTCACTTTACTAGTGACTTTAAAATATATGTATATTGACTTTAACTCATATCCATGAGATCCTAGAGCCCAATATCAGTCATTTACTTAATTCCAAATTAATGACAGGAAAAAATGCACTGAAAGAGTTTATGCCTAATATATTTCTCCAATGCAACCAGTTGCAACTGTGGGAAGATGTTCCCACAGGATTCAAGAAGTTGAAGGTAGAAGTGAAAACTCACGGATCAAAGAGGGATGGAAAACAAAGCATTGTTAGACTTCATTCTGGAGGAATCGTAATGAAGACTACCAGCAGCTGAGGCAGATTGCTGAAGTGTGGCAACATTACATATTACCTTTGTTTCTTTGGAACTTTTCTTTAAAGGTATTTTTCAATATATTTATGTGAATGTGTGCCTGTGTGAGTGTATGTGCATCATGTGTATGAAGGAGCCTGTGGCAGACATAGAGCAACATCAGATGCATTTAAATTGGCCTTTAAATGGTTTTGAGCCACCGTGTAGGTCCTGGGAACAAAACTTAGGTTATTAGCATTGAATCATCTTTCTAACCTTTATAAAATTTCTTAACCTGCTTCAAAAATGGTCATAGTCCTAATGACTACCTAGTAAGATTGCTATAAATATAATATAATTAATGGTGTTAAAATTCTGCTATTTATGCTTTGCATTGGTAAACAGGAAATATGTCTTAGCTTTTGCGAAGATTATATTACTGCTGGTGGTGACTATAGCGGCAGTTATAAAACATGATCCAGAAAATACACTGAATAGACTATATGGTGAGAGCTATGAAGCTTGGCTGTCTATAAGCTTAAGTCTTAATCACTGGAAGAACAAAGAGATCGACACTGATGAAGTCAAAACTCCTTGGTTCCCATTTTAGTAAACTCCTAGATGATGTAGCAACCACCACTACTTTTTGTACTAAAAATACTACTCTAGTCTGCAATGATCTTTTTTACTCAAAATACCTCTACCAAGTTGGTGTGGATATTTGATCAACTCTGTAGGTGGTGATAACACCCTTCACTGAAAATTGTTGAGTGAATGGAGCCAACAAAGCCTATGTATCCTCGTTAGGGTAACAAGCAGGAGCACAAAGGTCAATTTCTGCAGCCTGGCCTCCTGTGCAGATGCTCATATCAGGGACTGACAGCCACTTGTGCCTCAGGGAACCAGATAATAACTTCAGAACTAGAATTTGGGCAGTCATCCAGTCTTGGTGTCTGCTTCAGAGCACATAGACATGAAAAGCAATACCTTTCAGTGGAGCAAAATGTTCTGAAAGTAGCAAGGAGATGAAAAGTTTCACAGATGTAAGCCCTTGGTGTGCTGGTGTCATGGAAATGATCTCAAGTTGCTTGTTAAATGTTACCAAGATACAAAACAGATGGCACAAAATGGTGAATTAAAATAGAAGCACCATTTCACATTCTGAAAAATGGGTGGATATTTTGAAAATAAACTCCACTAACTATTGAGATACTCAGTTCTCTGAGTGCATTACTCTCATAGAATTAAATAACAAAGAAATAAGAGCAGTCCAATAAACCTGTAGTTCACATTTTTAATATGGTAAATGTTAGGCAAAGCTAGGTTCATTAGCAATTGGTCTACAGTTCTGATTCCCTGAAGGCAATAATAAATATATTTAGTATTGATTCATGGCTTATGTCTCAATGTAAAATTTATTTCTAAAAAACAATCTAAATCTAAGACACAAAAATGACAAATAAAATGCCAAACAGCGATTTATCCATGGTAATAATATTCAATAACACTGATTATTAGATAAATGATAGAAACATAGCTAGATAGATAATAATAGATAGATGATTGAGTAGATAGGTAGAGAGATGGATAGACAGATGATAGATAGATAGATAGATAGATAGATAGATAGATAGATAGATAGATAGACAGACAGATAGATGATAGATCGAAAGAGAAATATCTTTTATTTTGGCATAAGGAGATCCTAAAATATTGAAGGCATTTATGTTACACTTATTTCACATGAGGAAGAAGCACCAATAAACCTCCCCAGGCTTCTGGCACCCAGCATTCTTATGCAAACTGGAAGGATTCCTATCCTTACTTAAATATTTGCAAGAAATAAGATGAACGGAAAAGGAAAAATAGCCATCTTCTCACATTATCAATCTTGGTTGAAAGCAGATAGCAAATGCAACATTTAAAAGAGAGTTTTCATTCATTACATTTATCAATCAAAAAACCAACCTTTTAGAAGTTTTGGGTTGAATGAATTTGTCTAGTTCCTAAAGTGTTTCTAAGCTTATATTTATTTTACTACCAACTTCCTAATTGTGGGGCAAAAAAAAAATCTTATTAGGATAATATATTTGTATGTGTCTGATTCCAAGAAAATGATACTATTTCAGATACAACTGGATTCATGATCCTAATGTTGTTTTCGGTTAAAAATTGGCTACATCCCTGGGTTCTTCAATCACCATAGTAAAATGATTTTTATATAATTTACATAATTTATGTTTGTCTCTGCTTAATAGCCATTAAAATGAAAGAATTTTCAGGAAATTTTAGTCAAACTTCAAGTACTTGGCTAGACATTCACAGGACATAACAACTTTAAAGGTAAAGAAATTCCACATGACTTGAATGAGTCTCTTTATAATGCTAAATTATGAACACTTCAAACATATGACAAAAAAAACATCTCAGTTAAACTAAATTTTCATCTACTTAATCTCTCTGCTGATTTTTTTTGTGTGTGTACAGGGACATGTTTCTGCGGGTGTTTGTATGTTTGACTGGAATAGCCTTTCCTCAGGCACCATTCACCTTTTTCTATGGCAGGATCTCTCATTACCTTGGTCTTTTCAATTATTAGACTAAGCTGGCTTACCAACAAACTTCAGCAATTTGCTTAGCTCTGTTTTCCCAGTGTGGTCTTACAGTATGCCTGACATTTTTCTATGGGTGTTAAGGGTCAATTGGAGGTCCTCGTGTATGCCCCTAACTATTGATATTGTCATGCCTATCCATCTAGCCATTCTTACATCTGTCAGTCAATCTCCCCTATTTTTACGCACTAGAAAATTAATTGCATATAAATTAGACTGAGTCCGAAAAATTCACCATCCATATAATTTTCTAGAAAATTGAAGGAGATTGCATAATCTCTGAGACAATGTGCATGAGAGGATGGTCGTTTCTACATAGAAGCTGCTATGCAGGCAACATAGAGAGGGAGCCAAGAGTTAATGATTTTCTTTTTCTGACAAATGCAATGCCTTACCTTCTAGGCTATGCATGTTTGAGTGGTTATATAAACCATAACTAATGCTGCTCTGCTACTGTTTTACTTTCTTTGAAGAAAATACCTCATGTGATGTATGTAATTTGATTGACTCATGATCTATGAGCAGGATTTTAATACTGACACATGTAGAGCACTGTCTGTAGGAAATGCTTAATTGATGAATTTCCAAACTTACTTTAGTAATTGGCACACATTCTTCCCTCCCTCAGCACTTATATGGCATTGCTAACCTTAGTGAGATACCTTTTCTTCCCACAAGTCATTGCTCACTGCTTTCTCTGTCATGCTCAAAGATTACATAATATAAATATAAAAGTCTATTCCTTCCCATATTAGTAATGTACTTTCATTTCTCTGCCTCTCCTGCTGACATTGTAATTATTGGGTATACTTCTTCCAAAGTGAAATGTGTGTGATGTGATAACTGTTTCTTCCTGCCCTATAATTTTTAGGAGTTGTGGTTTTTCGGAAAAAAAAAAAAAAGGAAAATGAGTGTTAGTAAAGGAATTGAGCTAACTGCAACAGAAATCATTATCCGTGACTACAGGACCTGTATTAACAGGCCTTTCACTTTGAGGGCTGTCTGCTTTTCAAGTGACAACATCTCTGCCACCATTGTGATTCTCAATTTGTCCTCAGCTTCTCAAGAGTAAAATTTAATAATCCCAAATAAAAGAGAAAAAAACATGATAATCTAGCAAATTCAGTTCAGAATCTCTAGGTTAACAAGATTTTTTTTCGATGACTAGACAATAAATTGATACTGAAGTAAATCCTATTTTTTTAAATTGTGTATAATATAAATTACGCAATAATTTCGAGTAAGCAAAAATGAAGACTATTATTTCTTAAGCTGGCTGTCAAAAACTATCAAAAGTTTATGGAAACCCAATGGATATATGCTCATCTTCGCTATTCATTACTCTACTATTTTATTTTGAAACACATAAATGTAACAAGTTTTAATAAGCATCATAAGTTCAATAAAATCTAGATATCAAACCCAACAAGTTCCTACAAAACAAGTTCTGTGTTAACTTCCATAAGCATCTGTCACAAATAAAACTTTCTTATATTTAAAAAGAGAAGAAAGAAAAAAGTCGCTTTTCCTCTGCTGCCGCCAAGGTCCTTGGTCCTTCCGAGGAAGTGAAGGCCGCGTTGGGGTGAGGCCCTCACTTCATCCGGCGACTAGCACCATGCCGGCAGTCTGCAACATGGCCTCCATCTCTGAGCTCGCCTGCATCTACTCCACCCTCATCCTCCACGCCGATGACGTGAAGGTCACGGAGGATAAGATCAATGCCCTCATTAAAGCAGTTGGTGTCAATGTTGAGCCTTTCTGGCCTGGCTTGTTTGCAAAGGCCCTGGCCAATGTCAACATTGGGAGCCTCATGTGTAATTTAGGAGCTGGTGGGCCTGCTCCCTCCACTGCTGCTGCCCTAGCGGAGAAGAAAGTGGAAGCAAAGAAGGAAGAATCCGAGGAGTCTGATGATGACATGGTCTTTGGTCTTTTTGACTAGGCGTTTTGCTACCATGGCTAATAAAAAGATAAACCTGAAAAAAAAAAAAAAAAGAAAAGAAAAAAATCCCTGAGAATTCTAGAAACCTGAAGTCTATATTAAGGATGATGCTGACACTGTGCTTCCATCCTGAGGTCTTTGGGGACAATTGTTTCTTGTTTTAGTGTGACTTCAGGAAGACCTTACAGCTGTAACACTCTCTAATCCCAGCCCCCAGCTTGATCTGCCTCTTTCTTCTGTATCTGTTTCTCACCTTTGTCTCTCTGTATCAGATTTCCCTCTATTTTTGAGATTAATATCACTTGATAATCGGTTACAGAACTTTGGCTTCTGCAAAGATTCATTTTACAAATGTGGTCATATGCATTTGTTGTCAGCATTAATCAATGTGCATAACTTCTGGGGATCATCATTAAACACACTATTCAATGTTTTGTTTCATACTCATAAGACTTTTCGTATAAATTAACTGAGTTCAAGGAAACACAATGGATCCAAGTTATTAAATTAGCATATTATATTTAAATACATATTTATGTATCATACATAAGTGCATATTATATGTATAACTTGTGATTTGCTTCTTTTTTGGGGGGGGGATTTTCAAGGCAGGGTTTCTCTGTAGTTTTTGGTGCCTGTCCTGGAACTAGCTCTTCTAGATCAGACTGGCCTCGAACTCACAGAGATCTGCCTGCCTCTGCCTCCTGAGTGCTGGGATTAAAGGCATGCGCCACCACCGCCCAGCTTGCTTCTTTTCATAAATCTGCTGTATATAATATATCTATATGATCACCCAAAACATAAAAAAAAATCCTTGATTTATCATCAACAAATTCAGGGCAAAGTAGCATACACTAGATTCAAAATTCAAAACCTCTATTATTTAAAGGAGTGTGCTTTAAATCATGTATTTGGGGGGGGTAGCAGGATTTAACCAAACTCACTGTATCAAGGTTTCCATCTGCGTTTGTTGGCACAGAACTGAAATCAGCGCAATCTGGCACTATAGGATTCAGGCAAAAACCATACATCTGAGAGCTTTATCGAAAACATCAAATAATACATACATGTCTAATACTTCAGTAATTCAGGGGCAACTAAACTTAAATGCATATATAACTATTAGCATCAATGTGGGTTAATTTACCCATTTTATCTTTACATTTCTTGGGCGACCTCAATACTCATAATCTTACAGGAATCAAACAATCTTATTTGTGCAGTTAACTTAAATCTACAATAATACATGAAGCACTGGTATGAAAATCTTGCTAAACTTTAAAAAATGATCCTAAGACATGTGAAAAGAGATGTCTATAATTTCATTTTATTCAGTAAACACTGCTCCCAGACAGACACGATAGGTTGAACAGCAATCTCCACGACTTTACTCTATCCCGCCATCCTTGTCTTTCTGCTCTTCCCAGGATGTTTTAGGAGGTACAAGCCATTCTACCACCAAAATGGAAATTGAGTTTATTAAGAATTTGGCATGTAAAGATAAGAGTTGGGGTTTTAGAATGCAGTTAACAGTATAAGTCCAGACACCAGAGACAACCAAGACAGCTGTGCAGAAGGCAGGGAGAAAGGAAGGAAAGGGACAATGTGATGGCCCTGAAGTGTCTTACAATGGGATGCAAAGAGCAGTGGACAGATCATGAGAGAGGTGAAGTTATACATGTTCTATTGGCAGTTTAGAAGATGCTAAATGTATCTAGAGTCAGTGCCTGGCATTTACGCCATCAGACCTTAAATGAATGGAATAAATGTGACAATTTCAATTACTTTTTTAATGAACTCAGCAGAGTTCATGAGTAGACATCAATGTCAATCACTTAAACTTACAGATGGTTAGATGCTTGTTTCATTTATTTAAGTCCAGTTCATGAAGAAAAGATTTCTTTAATAGAGAGAAATGAATATTTCTTTCAGTCATGTGGAGAACCTTTTTAGGGAAGTCTAACGTGAGTTTTCAGAGCTTGCAGGAATGTCACTGTAGCCACTGACTCTCTTCACTGTAGCAGTGAAGCTGTGTGCAAGTACTATGAATGGATATCTGTATCAGAATTTTTCAATTACATACTAAGAAAATGCAGTTATGTGTTCTGGCTTTCCTCTTCTGTCTGTCCCTCACTATATAAAGATACTGACCCAGATGGTAAAACAAACATACATACCAAAAATCCATGAAAATCGTAGGAAACTACTAAGCCTAGTTCAATCCCAGTATATAGAACTAAATATAAAAAAAAAAACAGACATACTTCGTATTTTCATTTGGCCCAGATATTGTTTTGTGTCTCTACTTTGTGTATGTGTGTGCTCAGTGGGTGTGCACACACATGTGCCTGTTGTGGATGCACACACACACACACACACACACAAACATATATACCACATCACAAGTGTGTAGGTCAGAATGTGACTTGCAGGAGACCATTCTTTCTTTCTACCAAATGAGCCCCGAAAATTAAACTCATGCCATCAAACTTAGTTTTGTAACAAGCACCTTTATCTTCTGAGTCATTTTGCTAATCCTGGTCTTTAAGTAGAACAAATTAAAAATATTTATAAAACTCAAATATGTCCAGAGGAGTTACATGATCTTCCTAGGATGGAGTAGCTCTAAAACATGTAGAGAGAATGATGAGAGGGTTACTGGCTTGTAATCTATAAACTAAAACCCATACTCTCTATTGGTTACAAGTTTACATCTACAGTTGGAGATGAATGAACTTAGTGAAAATACCAGAGTCTTGGGAAGCAATCGCAAATGGCCTTGCATTGGTATGAAGTTAAGAGCAGACACACACACACACACACACACACACACACATAAAATAGTAAGTAAAAATGCAACAAATCCCATTATTGTTAAGGGAAATCATTAATAACAATAATTACTTCTACTTTTAAGTGTTTACTAAGTGCTTTTTTTTACCCTCTGTTACTTTTTTTCCTTTTTTTATTTTTTTATTTATAAAAATTTCCACTTCCTCCGCTCCTCCCAATACCCTCCCACTCCCCTCAGTCCCTCTCCCCCTCCCTCTCCAGTCCTAAGACCAGACAGGGTTTCCTGCCCTGTGGGAAGTTCAAGTTCCTCCCCTCTCCCTCCAGGTCTAGGAAGGTGAGCATCCAAACAGACTAGGCTCCCACAAGGCCAGTCCATGCAGTACAATCAAAACTCGGTGTCATTATTTTAAAAAGTACTTCATATCTCAGGGTCTTTCAAAAAGAAGCCTTACAAGGTAGGCATTGATTGGTAAGCCCATTTTAAAGTTGAAAAAAGAAGTAGGTTTCAGATATCAATATGACAAGGATATATTACTCGTAAATGTCAGAGCTGCGATAGTAAACTATGTCTAGATCTATCCCTAAAACCGAGATAATGAATTTTTGTGATGCCTTTAAACCAGTTCAGGAAATACTTCCCCCGGCAAATTCAAAGTTGTCTATTCCTCTTCCTGAGCTGGTGAGGGCTCTAACACATTTCACAGCATATTTGTATTTTATGTTTTCTCATCTCTTTCTTTTCTCCAACACTCAGGTTTTTCCATAAACATGAGGAGAGTGTAATTTGTGAACATCCTCCCTTCCATTTAGCACAGAATCAAGCACACTGAGTAGTCTATTATTCATCTCTGATGACAGAAAGTGCTACAGAAATAGTTATGTTGGGAAGGCAGATAGACAGACCACAGGGCTGAACTTCAGAAACACAGGACTCTCCAAGACTCAGATTCACAGATATTTGTGATTCTAAGAAAATCCCTCACTATGTATGTTTCCTCGTTTCTGTTCTGTTTCAGAAACTCTCCTTATCTTACCATTTTATGGTTCTGTCATAGAAAGCAGTAGTTTTCTCTTCTCTCTATGCAACAACAGGATAGTGCAGCCTGCCTGATAACTAGGAAGGGGAACCAGGCTCTGTAAACTATGAGTGAAAGCTATGTGTGCCCAATCCTTAGTCTCTGTCACTTCCACAACAAGCAGAGAAGCAATGTGTGGAACAGTAGCGCTGTGAGATGTACATGAACCCATCCCACTTTGGAACAGCATAGGAAGGTACATCCTAGGGGAGGGCATCCATCAGATTGTTCTAAAATAAATTAAGGGTTTTCCTCCAAAGACCAATAATCAGTTGCAGTTTAGAAGCATGGGAATGAGAAGGAAAAGAAATCAGAACTTGAAAAACAAGTGAAAGAACAAAAGTCTTCTTTGATCACTGGCATTCAGAATGAACTGGCTTTAGAGAGGTTGGACTCCTCCTAAAATATCTGAGATAATTTTGATGCTGAAGAGACAGGAACTGGAGGGGGAGAAAAATGACGGCTTAAATACAAGAAGCAAATTGCTTCCTGGTCTCTCTGAGGGTCTAGGACCTATCAACTTCAAATGTGGCTCAGAAACCTAATAGAGGAAAAATTATGCCTCTAAAAGAAGCTTGCACAGGGCTACAGAGAACAATGACAACCTTGAAAGCCCAGTGAGATGACGGAGTCGCAAGAGGAAAGTATAATGAAACTATTAGAAGAAAGACAGCAGACAGATCAGAGCCAGCAAGGTGCTTTCACTCTTTCAGCCGTGGGTTTCATTTTTCACCAACCTCTTCAGAGTATTGAATAATATAGACAAATCTTCTATATTATAAAACTACAATAATTTATTTCTCACCAACTTCTCAGTTGTTCCTTGATTTCATGCAACATAGCAATGGCAGGTAAATTCAGATCACTGACCAGTTTTCCTAACAAAAGTTGGAGTGACCCCAGAAATATCACGTGAACTATGAGTTAGAGTTAATAAAACTTTTCACGGTATTAAAGTAAAGAGGGTAAGAATGATTCGGAGTCACGTAAAAGAAACTGACAGGGGACAAAAAAAACCCCACAATATTATAAACAGTGTGTTTGATTCTTTCTGATATCAGGACACATGAGAGGGTCAGTGTGAGTGCATATGTGTGTGTATGGTGAGGGTTGTATATGTGTGCTACCTACAGTTTGATAGTTTATTTTAATAATCAAATTCTTCTA